TAGGAGTCCCACTTGGTTAAATCAGGAGCTCTTCTCTGTCTCCAGCACGACAGATGTATACAGATTGTGAACACCAAGTCAAGTAGCTGAGGACAAGTTATTAAGAAAAAATACTTCAGAAAGTCAGAAAGATCAGGTCACAAAGACATCAAAACCAGCAGGACAATATTCCTCAGGTGTTAGTTATTAGAGGAGAACCAAGGAATGTATTATCTTCTCATCCAAATATCTCTGACAAATGATGCCAAGAGGGCTAGACCAAAAAATAACAGCTGCAAGAAACACCAACTTAGGAAACTGAGCTTTTCACCGAACTGGCAAATACACTTCGGACATTTGCTCCATTTCCAAAGTCTGCAGGAAAATACCTTCTTCATTTCAATCCTGGTGTTGAAAATCAGGATTTTAAACAAATCCTGTTCTTAACCTGAAGTTACACTCCAATTTATGGGGTTCTACACATAACTTTGTCAACAATTTTTTGGGTTTTTTTTTTCCTTATTCACTGAACAGAAAGGGAATACAGAACTCTTAGGGAGCATCAGAACCCCTGCTACTACCAGAAGATAAATCACTCATTAGTCAGGAAACAGACATCATGGCTATTGCCAAGGGTGCCCTATAAACATTATGAGTGAAAAGTCCCTGCACTGAACAGGAGTGTGTTCATCTATAATCACATCTAGTGCTAATAAGAACAAGTGACATTCAACCAACAGTCAGTCTGAAACAGCAGTGGCCAGGCAGAGTTGCTGCAATAGCCCTGGAGCAGGGACTCACATTCCCAGCCTGGGATTTAGTTTATTTTTTTTGTCAGAATGTACAAATAGCTCACTCCAAAACCCATTGCCTTTTAGGAGTTCTCTCACAATGATTATTCAATAAAATGCATTTTCCTAGCCATTTTGAGAAGGCCACAGAAGAATAGGTGGAAGTTTGCAGTCTAAAACATTTGCCTTGCTTTAATTTGCCTTTGGTGGAAATAAAATCAGTATAAGATCATCAAAAGTGTTCTTTCAATTAAAAAAAATGTATGGTAAATATATTCATTTAAAAAATCCTCAAGTCGTTTGTTTTTTTTTTTCCAGACCAAATTCCTGCAAGGGACAAAATACACTATTTGGGTTATTCTTTGGGTTACACCAAGATGCCTATCCAGTAACAAAATCAGCGTGACAGAGAATATTTAAGTGATTTTTTTCTCATTCTCAAAACACTCAACAGATCAGCTGCCAAATTAAATCGAGGCGGGAAACAGGCCCTTGCTCAGCAGTCAGCCCAGCAGAACACAGCTCAGGCAGGGGCCAGCAGCTACCAGCCCCTGTGGCAGCACGGGGAGGGCTCCTGCACCCACCCCGCTGCCCTGGCCCAGCAGCCAGGCAGGGGTGGACACTGGTCCCTGCGGCTGGGAGAGAGGTGGCAGAGGTGGGCCTGGCTGTAAGCCCAGCTCAGGCCTTTCTGATGGAGGAGGAGTTAAGCCCCTGGTGAGCCACTGAAGCAGCACCAGGCCTTTCCCTCCTTCCCCTCACCCCCGAGGTGTGCATCTCATGGCTTTTAGCCCTTTGGTGTGCAGCTGGTAAGACTGAGAAGCACCCACCCCTCCTTGGTGATGGCAGGCACAGAGGAAACCATCAAAGACCATGCCTACTTCTCCACCCTGAGAGAGGAGCGTAGAGCTCCCCATAGGACAAAAGCTTGTCCTTCACCAGTCACAATCGGCAGTGAAGGTACCCACTGACAGGCAGCATGAATGGAAAAGGCAATTAATCACACAATTAAGTATCAAGCTGCAATGACCCAACATCATGCTCGCTCTCTTAGTCTTCTCATTCCTCACTGTCAACCCCCTTCTCCAGACTCTCCCTCTCTCTGCTTCCATACAAGACGATTCAACGCACACATCTCAATGTCTTGCGCCAAGGGGTTCCTTTCTGAGCGTACACACGGCCCCATCTCATGGCTAATCCCACTGTTCTCCTGTCAAAGACAATGCTGTCAGCAGAGCCGGCAGGCCCACTAGAATAGTCATCACCTGCTGGCAGCTTGGACGCAACACGTACTCCTGTGGGCAAAAGCTCCAGTAAACCGCAGACAGCTAAAAAAGAAGCAAACTCTGAATCTGCAACTACGTACCACTTGTGCCAGTATTATTACACACACACAAGATGAGCAGAAAATTAAGTGAGATTGTTCAATTACTATCCTCTGCCTGCAAGCATTACTCATGTCCCAGCCTTCCTTACAATCACCCCCACTAGCCACATTATTCTCTTTGGCCTAATAAGTTTCATTAATCACACACAACGAGCTTGAAAAGCACGAGGGTTGGTTTTATTGCAGAAGGAAGATACCACAATTAGGCAGCTGAGGCCTTTTAGTGCCTGCAACATGTGGGTTTGCCCGAGCTGTGGGTTGATAACGTGAGCTTTTTGTTGGCAGTAAACAGGTGATGATCAAAGCCGGACAAGGCTACAACGCTGTAAGCTAATTTTCTGAGAGCGTGAAGCAGGACTGGCCCTTGGCCCATCCCAGAAATAAGAAATCGGGCAAACCATAGCTCAAGTGGCTGTTCAGCGCTGTGGAAGTGCCAGGAGAGCCTGTTTCATGGAATACCTGCAGCACGAAGGGTCCTACCTCATTGCCATAATACCGTGTTTCAGCACATCAAACAAAGGCTGCTCAGAATTTCTAGGAAATGCTGACATGTTGTAGGTGACTAGACCAATTCCACTAAACACAAATTAAAGGGGAAAATAAAATGAGCACAGAAACCATGCTTTTCATCCAGGGCTAGTTATCACGAGTGTCTCTCCACAGGGTTTTACCCTCCACACTATCATCTCCCGGCATTAGGTCTCATTCTTCAACATTTCACTTAGTGCAAAGGATTTGTGAAAAATTCTTGCTTTGCACCTTAAAAATCCCCACACGCATGCACCATGACTGCCATAAGCAAACTGTGAAAGGTCCAGGCTGACAGGGAGAATGCAAAAAGGGCACAGGATCATGTCCACGATGCACTGCCAGCTGTGGGCCAGCAGAACTGGGCAACCACTTCCTCAGACTGAGGCACTGCTGTGGATCTCACCAGAGCTACAAAACGCTTTTCCTAGCTAGACTCTTTTTCACCAGTTCTGAGCTATCTGTCACTTCTTTCTCTGAGACACCGTACACATGAAAAGATGCATCTCCTGCCCCACAGATGACATGAAGCATCTGTGCCCAGTTCTGAGCCAGTGACCTATCAGTGGCATTTAGCCCAACAAGGAAGGCTTTGCTCGGTTACCAGACATGAACGGACTACCTTCTGCAGGCACTTCTCATTGAGGCAGAGAGTCACCCTTCATGTTTTTCTGACTGAAACAAAGGTATAGAGCTAGGTCAGTAGGTGCCCACCCATGTCAGTTTAGAAGTGATAAAGTGAAGTTCAATTCATAGAATCACAGAATGGTTTGGGTTGGAAAGGACCTTAAAGACCATCTAGTTCCAACCCCCCTGCCATGGGCAGGGACACCTTCCACTAGACCAGGTTGCTCACAGCCTCATCCAGCCTGGCCTTGGACACTTCCAGGGATGGAACATCCACAGCTTCTCTGGGCAACCTGTTCGTCGACCACACCACACAGCTTGGTGTCATCAGCAAACTTGCTGAGGGTGCACTCAATGCCGTTATCCATGTCACTACGGGGGTTGGGAGCGGGAGGGTGTTTCAGACTGGGGCCATGAGGATGAGAAGAAATGTATTACTTTGGTAGGGGTTTTTTGTTTGTTTTAAAAAAGCACACCATCTGCGTTTTTCACAACTTAACACTTCTGTTCTCAGTAAAACCATGCTGTGATCTCAGATTCCAAGAACCTGATCAACAAACATTTACCCAAACAGCCCCAGAAATAGGTAAATATTTGCATATTTGCACATTTACTTTAAAATAAATCTTAGAAAATGGCCCATAGCTATTTCTCATTTCCATAACAAGAACAATTTCAAATTGGCTTTTTTTCTTCCATCATCAATGCAAACAAAGTTTAATTAAATTAAAAAATAATAATAGAAAAAATAGACAAAGATGACAAATACCAGATTAGCATCTGCCACCTGTAACTAACCACCGAGAAAAAGAAAACTCAACTCTTATTTCTGCCGGATGTGTTTCTTTGATGTTCTTTGTTTTGGGGTCCCCTGTGTCACTTCCTAGTTTGCAACACAAAATTGCAAAGAGAAACCATTTGCTAAAATGGCAAAGAAAGTGCTACATTTTCATCAGCAGTATGTTACTCTGACACAGAAATATGTCAACTACTGATTGGAGGAAAGACAGCACATACCACAGAGTCCGTTTTCAAACAAAATTCAGATAGCTGTTTCCCCAACTCAGTCTTTGAAAGCTTCAAGTGTTTCAAGAACCGTACTGATATTTAGAGAAAGAGAGAAGTAATTTACTGAAACAGGTTGTTCTCCCCCACTGTCTTCAGCTCAGGAAAGACAAAGGCTTCTGTGGTTTGAGTGTTCTGCTGGCCTGCTGTGCAGCAAGGTCTGAGATTTGTTAGCTGAAGTACAAGTTCAAGTAACAGAGTATCATTAGTAGCTGAGCTGGTATTAGACTGCTTGTGCCTACACTGTCAATGGTTCATGTATCACAGAATCACAGAATGGTTTGGGTCAGAAGGGAAACTTACAGACCATTCAGTTCCAACCCCCCTGCCATGGGCAGGGACACCTTCCACTAGACCAGGTTGCTCAAAGCCTCATCCAGCCTGGCCTTGAACACTTCCAGGGATGGGGCATCCACAGCTTCTCTGGGCAACCTGTTCCAGTGCCTCACCACCCTCTCTGGGAAGAACTTCTTCCTGATATCCAATCTAAACCTCCCCGCTTTCAATTTAAACCTGTTACCCCTTGTGCTGTCACTACAGGCCCTTGTAAAAAGTCTCCCCCAGCTTCCTTGTTGGCCCCTTCAGGTGCTGGAAGGTGCTATAAGGTCTCCCCGGAGCCTTCTCTTCTATATATATGTCATTCTTCGATTGTAATTCTGATAGATAGACTCTGATAAGACAGGAGGCTCAACCACATCTGTTCTCTCCAATGATGGCATGGACCTGAAGTCCTTAGTCTGCAATATAAAGAAAAACACATACCACTGTATTACATGGCAGAATTTTGTGGAACCATCATACCTGTAGAGTGCAAACAAAAAACAAAACGAGAAGAAACCTGGTAGGCAACACTACTTTTGCAAAGAAACGGTGAAGCTATTTCTCTAAGCTTTGTGAGCAAAGGGGTAGGGCACAGATGGTGAAACCTAAACTCAGAGAGATGCAACAACCTCCTTCATAAAGCCTAAACAGGACAACCCTCTGAATTCTTTTTTGCTTAATATGATTGAAATCACATTTTGAAATGTTGCTATTTTCAAAATAGATGTGCAAAATAGATGATAATGAACAATGTTAACTTCTCTGGAAAAAAAAAAGAAAACCAACAAACAAACAGATAGGCCACAGGCAATCCAATTTAGGCACCTAAAATTACTGGAAGCTTCTGACTTTGATCTCGGCAACTCCCACTCCCATCAGTCAAATTGTCCTGATTGCCACAGAAAAGCATATCAGAAAATTAATCGTTCTAACTTCAGAGCACCCTTTGACTAGTTTGCAACAAACAAGGCACATGGCCATTAATTTATCCGTGAGCAGAAAACAAAATATGAAGTAATTACTCTTTCAATAGGCATTAAATGAGGCAGAAGCCCTGAAGAAAGAGCAGCATATTATCACGCTGTTAAATATGTATCACGACACACTGGAATTAGAGAGGAAGTAAAAGTTGTGACGGCAAGTTTATCACTGCTGTTTCCTAGCTCCTGAACATTTGAACTGCAACTTAAAAAATGAAATTTTCATTGCTGTGTTTGTCTCTAATACAGCAGAAGGAAGTGCATCCTTTTCCCTCGTTGTAAAATGCCTGTCTGTTTTCGTCTGATCTCTAATCAAGCAGGTGTCTGCCATCAAGGGCAAGACACATTCTTAAGCAAAAGATCAGAGGCAAAATTACTCTGAGGCAGAAACGCGAAAACATGAACTTTGGGGAGATTCAAAATTCAGCTTAACCACGAGCACTGTAAATTTGATTTATAGTATACCTAGGCAGGAAATGCACTCCTCCACTCTCAGTCTGGTGCTTAAACCATTACACAGATACTCTGAATATACTGGGGACCATCCAAACAAAAGACACCCTCCCAGGTACAGTGTTTCTCACTCCCCCCACCCCCAAGCACAGAGAGTTAAATGGGAGTTTTGTCAGAGCAGGCACATTGCCATGAAATTACATTCAAGTGAAGAATACACACACCAACAAAAGCCCACTTACCGCACATGGTGCTGCCGACCCACGTGCCCGTTCACATAACTGGAAAGCTGGAAGTAGGATGTCAGGAAATTAAAATGGTTTGATGGGGCAAGGTGCACAGCTGTCATGTCTGGAGTTCTCCTCCAGCTGCCCTCAGCTGTTCAAAGACTGCTTTCAAAATACCGTTACGCTCACAGGTCAAGTTGCTATTTTATATGTCTTGCTCTTCGATGCACTATTGTTTTGATTTTCCCTTCACTGAAACATTTGGTTTCTCTCCCTGGGAGACATGACTGAATTGACTCTGTTAGGTGCACTCTTCCTCACATCTGCAGGAGCATGCTGGGCCTGGGAACCCGTCTGAGCGTATCTGTCTTTTCCTCACCTGCCTGAAGAATCATAACACAGTGATGGGGACAAGCTCCCACCAAAGTGCAGCAAGAGCTGTTCAGTGCGGCCACCACTGATGACCACGGCCCTCTGTTCTCTTCTCCTTGTCTTTCTTTTCCTCACCCTGCCTTCTCTGCTCTTCTAGTGCTCACCTTTGTCCCCTCTCGCCAACCCTCTTTCACCCCATTCATAGAATCACAGAATGGTTTGGGTTGGAAGGGACCTTAAAGACCATCCAGTTCCAACTCCCCTGCCATGGGTCGGGACACCTTCCACTAGACCAGGTTGCTCAAAGCCTCAGCCAGCCTGGCCTGGAACACTTCCAGGGATGGGGCATCCACAGCTTCTCTGGGCACCCTGTTCCAGTGCCTCCCCAACCTCTCTGGGAAGAATTTCTTCCTGATATCCAATCTAAACCTCCCCACTTTCAATTTAAACCCGTTACCCCTTGTCCTGTCACTACAGGCCCTTGTAAAAAGTCGCCCCCAGCTTCCTTGTAGCCCCTTCAGGTACTGGAAGGTGCTATAAGGTCTCCCTTCTCTCCTCCATGCGTTCAGACCTGGTTCATGACATACATCTGCAGTGTAATATGCCAAACGGGGTGAATAATCTGAAAGACACTGAGCACAAAGAAGAAACCCAGGCAAGCAGTAAAGCTACAGCAGAGCAAAGGCAATGGGAGGACAGTAAATCAGACACTATGATTCTCTACAAGTTCCCCCACCTCTACATTGCCTTCTCCCAGTGCTTCATCACCTGCCCTCCTGAAAACACTCTTGCCTTAGCCTGCTATTCTCTATTTCCCCCATTTTAAGCCCCCACTTGGGCTTCAACTCCACTCTTACCCCATCATAGCCATTTTACTGGACTCCAAGAGTAGCAAACCAGTAGTAGTAACACTAAAGCAATGGAGGGGAGTAAATCAGGCACTCTGATTCTCTGCCAGTATCAAATTATTCAGTATGAGCCTGCCCCAGCGCTAACGAAACCTACACAGTCTGAGAAACCACGCGTGTACCGGGCAGGAATATGTACACTTGGCCTATTCTTACACTTGCTCAAGGAAAACGTTATGACTGCTGATGGAAACAGAGGAGTTGTTTGTATTTTAGTCATTAGACTAGTTTGTGAACTGTCATTCTTGCGTACAGAATTTTATGTCAGTAAATGCAGAACAATCAAAGTAATTCTAAAAACTCAAAACCTATCCTACTCTCAGAAGCAATCCTTTTCATTCTGGATGACTGTCACACATATATAATGCATTAATATCAGAGTAACTATGGGTCTTACAAAACTTCAGACTTGTTTTAAAGCTCCACTGCTTATTTTATTAGGGCTTTTCCAAAAGGACAATGGATCATATATGGACATTTTCCCCAGTCCTTGCCTCCCACCTGACTCTCAGCAATAAAGTCCATGTCCTTGTACCTGCACATAGTCGGAAAAGGAATTGCAATACATTTCAGGCTCATCAAATGACTTACCTCTGCACTTGAAAATCAAGCATAAAGTCACACCACTGACAGCAACAACACTTGCACATCCTCCTATCAGGAAATAGGGAAGCCTGGAGGAGGGGCCTGAGAGACGAGAAAATAACACTAGTTGCAGAGCTGGACATCGGTATCTGCTGACTACGTGATGTTGCTACCTACTTTAACCACAGAAGAAAGCTAATCCTCTACACCCACAGCTCAAATGAACTAGGAGGCACAGATGAGGTGTCTGGATGCCAACCACCAACAAGACGCTGCCTCACACACCCAGTCTTTCATTTGTACACGCTTCCATTTTCAACTCATATGCCTGCACCTTCTCCCTTTCTGCAAACGGTATTAGCACAGCAGCAGAACTGACCAGCCATCCCTGCAAAATGCTGTTCTTAGTGACTGGCCTATGCTGAATTCTGTCCTTCATGACTCTACTGAGGTATTTTGGTGATATGAGCACTTATTTAGCTGTTCTTACAAATCCTACAGGCATAGGCTTCGAACAGGTCTTGTGCAGCCAGACGAGAAGCTGAATTTTACCCTTTACTACCTTTGACCCTGGGCTAGATCATCTGAAAGTCAGAGAAAGACATTCTCCAAGGGATTTTTCTCCAGGCCATCATCACTATGGGAAGCTGGACAAAATTCAACTCCAGGAGTCCAAAATTTTGCATCAGAAATTAGGGAGCTATATCATGGTGGCTGTGGAAAGCAACTTTTGTGTCACCCGTGATTAAAAAGGTTACTGAAGCAGTGCATTGGGTTTGTGTGGCAAGGTTTTGGTAGCAAGGGGACTGCATCTTCCTCTGCAAGAAGATGCCAGAAACTTCCCTCATGTCTGACAGAGCCAACACCAGCTGGCTCCAAGGTGTACCCGCCACTGTGGTCAACAGCCGGCTGAACATGAGCCAGCAGTGTGCCCAGGTGGCCAAGAAGGTCAGTGGCATCCTGGCCTGCATCAGAAAGAATGTGGCCAGCAGGACCAGGGCAGGGATTGTCCTCCTGGGCTCAGCACTGGTGAGGCTGCACCTTGAATCCTGTGTCCAGTTGTGGGTCCCTCACTACAAGAAATACACTGAGGCTCTGGAGCGTGTCCAGAGAAGGGCAACGGAGCTGGGGAAGGGTCTGGACCACAAGTGCTGTGAGGAGCAGCTGAGGGAACTGGGGGTGTTCAGCCTGGAGAAGAGGAGGCTCAGGGGAGACCTTATCACTCTCAAACTACCTGAAAGGAGGGTGCAGAGAGGTGAGTGTCAGTCTCTTTTCTCAAGTGACAGGGCAAGAACAAACAGCCTCAAGTTGCTCTAAGGGAGGTTTAGATTGGACATTAGGAAAAATTGCTTCACCAAAAGGGCTGTCAGGCACTGGAACAGGCTGCCCAGGGAAGCAGTTGAGTCACCATCCCTGGAGGTATTTAAGAGACGTGTAGGTGCGGTGCTCAGGGACATGGTTTAGTGGTGGACTTGGCAGTGCTGGGTTAATGGTTGGACTTGATGACCTTAAAGGTCTTTTCCAACCTAAAAGATTCTATACTAAGTCATGCATGAAGCTGAGCCTGGGAAGAAGGGAGGGTTGTGGGGAAGGTGTTTTATATTCATTCTTAATTCAGACTATCCTACTCTGATTTGAATGACAATAAATTAATTTCCCAAGTCAAGTCTGTTTTGCCCATGAGAGTAATTTTGAAGTAATCCCCCTGTCCATATCTTAACCCATGACCTTCTTGTCATATTTTTATCCCCCCATCTTGTTGAGGAGAGGGAGCTTTGGTGGACACCCAGCCACATACAGCCAAGGTCAACCCACCACAAGCAGAATGAGGAACTCTTGTAAAACAGAACAGGAATAGATAGAAAGAAGCAAACACCGAAACCTTCCCCATACAATCCCACAAAACGTTTGGTTTCAACTAATACAAAATTCTTAGTTTCTCTATCAACACGCATTAGAACTTTGGCCTATCACCCCATCCAACAATCGGCAGAGCCCTGGCATTCAGTGGGAACAGCTGGAAAGAACAGCCCAAAGCAGCCCAAGAGCACGACGAAGAGCAATTAGAGAACAGTGTTAATTACATGGCAGGTCTAGGGACAGAGTCTGGTTTGCAGCTGGGTGGGTAACCAGGCAGGTGACACTGCGAAGCGTGCTGTTGACCCAGCCTATGTAGCTCACTCTGGTCACTGTTCCGCTGGGGTGATGGACTTCTTCCTCGGTGCTGTGATTACTTGCAGGGATCCAGGAGATAGCAGCAGCTGGCTTTCCAGCAGCTGCTTGACAGACAGCCACCCTGCTCTTGTCACTGGTCAGAGTCACTGTAGGAGGGACTACAGAAGAACCAAAAAAAGTCTGTAACTATCATGTATAGTTCAGTATAAAATCACCAACTGAGAAAGTGAAAAATAGGTAGGTTTGTATTTTTTTTTTTTAGTTTGCATGACCAAGAGATTTTAAAATAATTTGGAATATTAGCACCAACAACCTTAGGGAAAAAAATACATCAAAGTCCAAGGTGCATGTCTCCAAAACTAGCTAACTGCATCTACAAGTACTGCTTCCTCATGTTTTCCAAAAGGTGACTACAGTAGTAACAGGAGAAGATGGAATGACAGAGAGGGGGATTAAATGAAGATTGCGAAGTATGGTAGTGCACACAGTAAAGAAAACAGCTTGCTGAATCTCCAGCTAAAATGCTCAGGCGATTGGGTAAGTGGGATCAAGAATTTGGTAGTAGGGAAATAAGATAGGAATCAGACCAAACTGTTCTGCCTAAAGTCCAACAGCTCATATTCTGCATTTGACAAAACAGTCAAAGGCTCAGACAATACCTAAACCATTATCAGAAAGGCGAGACTCCGGAGGGAAGAACAAAGTATCAAGTGACAAAAATTAATAACAGCAATTATAGAGTTCCAAAATTAATTTCCCATAATTTTAATTCTATTCAGAATGCTTAATTAATATGGCCAAACAACAAAATCTTCTCCTATGTTTTTGTTTTAGATTTATAGAAACCTAGAGATGGCTGACGTGTTGATCATGTTTTCTAATATTTTGTTCCTGCCTGTGTTGAAAATGGACTAATTCCATTTTTATTTTAGTGATGTAGTGTTATAGACAGCTTTCAGTATTTCTGGAAGAGTAAAGTATTTCCAGATAGTGTCCTGAAGCTTTTGCTTCCCTCCTATTCAGCTCTTACCCATACAAAACACACATCGACCTCATTGTGAATTTTGGTTCAGCATCCTTTTGCTCAGCTTTTAGCAGCAATATTTATTTGATACCTTCTCTTTGCACTAACTTAACCAAGAGTGTATACTCCTGGTTGTGTCAACATTCACACAACATTCAAACCCCATGGTGTGTCCCAAGAACTGTCTCAGAAACTATGCAGGCTACTGGATTTGTGCATTTTAAAAACCTCTCTGTCTGTGAGTCAGAAGAAGTTTAAACAAAAAAACCCAAACAAACACACCACAAAGCCCCCAGATTATTTTTCTGTAGAACAGTGAGGTCCTATTGTGTAAATCCTCATGTCTTTTTCCCCTCTCTGAACAGCCAGAGTAAATCAGCTTACCTCTTCATTTTCAATTTCAGTATGCATCCAAAATTAATCTGGTCTTTTACCACCAAATCAAATAATTTTTATCTACACACACACATAGAAAAAAAAAAAACAACACCCAAACAAGGTGTGCCATCTTACCTATCACAGTCAGAGAAGAGGAAAAAAGAAAATTCCCTTCACTGCTGGTGACTTCACAGGTGTAATTCCCCTCATCACCAAGGTTCACAGGGTGAATTCGAAGAGCAGGGTCAGTGTCAGGTGAATATTTCCACGTCGTCCTCTCACTGCAGTTTAACCTGCTTGTCTCATTGAGATCACTCCTATAGGCAAACAAGCAGCAAGTGCTGCATTTCATCTTCCAAGTCACCATTAGCAAAGAAATCTTGGAGGCGTAAGGGCACCTCAACACAGCCTCCTGTCCAGTCTCCACGCTCACCACATTGTAAGCTACATAAGAAGAAAAAAAAGACATTTAAAGTGATGCTAAAGCCATCGTTGAAGCATAAGAAACACTTGGCTTCACCACACTTAAAAATTTTTGCGTACGGGCAGCCTTGGGGACACGTTGCTCTGTGCAGACACATATTAGTAGTACTCGATTTCCAGGTCCCACTTCCTGCTGTCACTCTTTGAAGTCTGGAAACGCAGCGGCAATGGTGCATTTGCCCTGTGGACACTGTGCAGGTATGTGATACGAGCCGGTGAGCGATGCCCTCCATCTTTTTAGAAAACAGTTTTGTATCACTTCAATACGGGCTTTGAAAAACTGACGAGAAGGGCAAGAATCGCCCTTAAGGGAAAGGAAACTACTACTTTTTTTAAAAAAATATCGTTATTGAATTAGGCACTGTGGTCAAAGTGCGAGTAAGACCGGGGACAGCAGTAGAACACGCAGCTGTAATAAGGTTAAAACCCAAGATCACTTGGTGCAGTAGTTCACGAGGCATATTTAGTAAGGGGCATATTATTCCATATATTTTCCACCAGAAATCATAACTGTCCTGATACTGTCCCAGCGGAACAGCCTTCAGGTGATCTGCATTGGATTCCTATCAGATAGATCATCCTGTGGCACCCGGCAAGGCCCACGGTTATTTTGCCAGCTGAGGTGACATCACTCTTTGCATTCACATTAAGAAATAAGCAAAATTGCCCCTGGTGAGCCGCAAAGTTTCAGTGTACCAGCGAGCTGCAAACACAGTGTCCCAGAGAGTGCTGCATGTACTTTGGGATCTTTCTCACTTACCGTGCCCTTCAACCAGACTGATCAGGAAGAAAAGGAGCGCAGCCGGAACTGCCGGTGTCTGAGCCATCGTTAGCAGAAGGAATCAGCCCTGCAGAAAGCGAAGGCAAAGAAAACGGCACGTAGTCACAAACTGTTGTGCAAATGCCTTCAAAGTGAACAGAGAGTAAAACCTGTTTCCTTTGAAAAGAGGAGCCCTAAACAGGACCCCATGTCAAGTATCATTCTCGTACTGAAGAAAGCAAAGCAAAAAGGGGTTTGAAAATAAAAATACCACCACTGCTTACACAAGGCAGTTTTAAAAATTCAGGATCTCAGATACCATTTTACAGGTATCTCTACCTGCTCACTCTTCATGCCCAGCTATCTAGCACGAAGACAGCTACAGACATCCTACTCCTGCTTCACAGGCGCACCTGCAGAAATGAAAACGGGTTTCGCAATAGCAAACGTGTACGCGTTACAACCCCTTCTGAAAAATCAAGGAAATAGCACATATGGGAAAATTCAGGATCTAGACTTGATCAGCTGTTTGACAAAGAAATGATTCCTAACCCCTGCGTGCTTTTAATTTCTTGAAGGGTAACTCCACTTCTGTAGTAGATCAAAAAAGGCGAGAGATAAAAACATCTGAGTTTTTCCCCTGCTTTCACAGACACAGTGAACTAGAGGTGTCCAGTCACCTACCCTATTCTACAGCTATATATAACTTTTTGACAAACCATGTCTTATACATTTCTAGGTCTCTTTTGGCAAAAGGGCAGCGGTTTATTAGTAAGATTGAGACAGTGCTGTCATCCCAACCCACTCTTTTCTGATTCACATAAAAAAAAACAGAACTCCATGCTATCCAAAAGCTTTCCAATCAAAATATATATGGTTCTCAGTGGAGAATTTTGATGGAATCCCATTCAGCTGTTGCTTGAACACGGATTTGGCTAAGAACATCACCGATACTTTCCTACGGTCACTTATCATACCTAAATAATCCAAATGTGGCATGGCAAACTTGCACTGCCCTGAACAAGACCCATCTGTGTTCCCACAGGCCAGCTCCCAACCTCTTCTGCTCAGGTCCCAAGGACGAGCACCCTACTGCAGCAGGTGCATGCGCTGGCTGTGTCACAGCATCCGCCTGTTTCCACGACACTGCAGCAGCCATACCCCGACTGCAGTTTTGTGACATTACTGCAGAAATCAGCGGCCGCACTTTTGTCTTGAGGCTCCCTGTAGCCGGCCCATAAAGCTGTCTCGTTTTCCATCACTCACCTCTGCATTCCCTCAAACTGCCTTCTCGGCAGGCCTTTTGCCCTTCTCTCCTTTACGCCGTCACTCGTATCTCTTTAATCTTTTACTTTCTGAGTCAGACACCCACAGCGAGAGATGACTGGAAAATTGTGTTTCCATCCCATGGGAAATACTGATAGGTTGTTTTCACTCCCCAGTCAAAACCCAATATGCACCAGACAAGCAAATCTCTTCGTGCAGTGGCTGATGCAGAAACATCATGTGTGTTGCAACAGGACTTTCCTTCCGGGCTACTTAGTGTTCACGCCCATATTTAAATGCAAGGATGCTTCTCTGTGTTTGCTGAGAGGAGAAGAGTCAGCCAGGGTTCGCTGTGCACACAGAAACCTGAATCTTCACCTGGTACCAACTGCTGCAGAAGTAACAGGCTTCAACTGCGCAGCATAAAAAAAGTCATTCTAAATGTCAAACACACCAAGCGAGGACACGTGGTGCATAGAACAACCACTTTGTGGCACAGAAAGAACAAACTGGCGAGCCCAGTGCGAGAGGCAGGAGTGCTTTCTTCAGCGCAGGGCAGTACGTACGCATGTTCGGACGACGGCTTTCTGCACAGCTCTAACAAAACACCGACACATCTGGATGAAAAGCTTTCGTAGTAACCCGAAAATAACGCCAGTGTGACCACACTGACCAGTATTCTGCTACCAGCATGCAACAGGCAGCATCACTCTTGCATTAAAAAACTCCCAAGTTTAATTTTCGTTCCCTTAAAACCTTTGCCCCTAATGAAATACTTCGTCTTGTGTCATGTTATTCAATATGACAAAAGGTTTGGGGTTTGGTTTTGGTTTTTTCCAATTTGAATAAATTACGCATGCCACAGTTGCTTTCCATCGAGAAGTTTGAAAGTTTGAACATTTTCTTTTAACCAAAAATAAAGAAGATGCTTTTTGACCAGAATTATATACTGAATTTGACCCAATTTGCAAATAATTTTTTCCGTCTCTTTCAAAAGAAAAGTAAAAAAGCCTTCCACAATGTTTATCAGCAAATTCAGTATTCACTAATTTTGATGGGTCTATAAATATTCATAAACAGAATATTGTCATATTGGAACTTGTCCCAGAGAACTATCTTTTTTTTTTTTTTTAAATGCACACAAGTCTCATATATATGGGGTTTATTTGCTCGAAAGAACAGGCATTAATGATTAAAAACAGGGCCTTACAGAACGAACAGAGTATATTACTCTGTTTAAATATTCATGTGTGAAACGCAGACTTTAGACTGCGATTTTTAAGGTTCACAATCCCTGAATACTTGTGCCTGTAAGCGAGAAGAAAGTCTCCGAGTAAAACCCAAAAAGGAGAAACCAAGCACAGCTGAATCAAATTCATTTAAAAGTAGCAAATGAATATTTGTAGATTTTCCTGTGTTATTTCCTTTGATGGAATTAAAATGCCTCAATAACTACATTAAAATAAATTAAAATATTTACTCAGCCTTGACGAGGGTGGCTGGCACAAGACCGTGCAGCATGTGCGTCACTCTTCCATTAGCCTCAGCCTTCCAGCTGGGGAACGGCATCGCTCACGCTCGGATTCATCCCAGTGAATGCTGGGGCCAGAGGAGAGTTACCCGGTTGTCAGCCTGGAGAAGAGCCCTCCAGCCACAGGAGCATGGGAGACGAACAGCAGCAGTGCCAGCGTGCTCCTCCCCTCCCACACTCGCTGTCCTGGGGATGAGATGAGAGACGTTGGCACACGCAACCGGTCCAACGTGGGTGCCGGTCCCAGTGGCTGCTTACGGGGTGGCTCCTGCAGACCAGGGATCTGCAGAGACGTACCCAGAGCTCCACTCCCACTCTGTCCTCACAAGGGACCCAGGCAGAGTTGCAAAGAAGTGAGAACTATCTCAGTTTAGGACCGTCCATCCCAGAGAGTCCCTGTTTTCAGCTGTACAGTTCATTAGTTTCTTTGCATTGATGTTCCTGAGACCTAACATGCAGCTGATGTGTCTCACAGACAGACAACAGCCTCTTCCTACTCCAAATGAGCTCAGTGAAAAAAAAAAAAGTCTGACTGTACGCTCCCATGAAGAGGATGTGACACAGTTAAAACTAGACCTTAAGCGGTCTGCTGTTACACATCAAACGCAAGCTACAAGCCTTCAGCTATGCAAAGCACCAACTTAGAATCAGGTAAGTCCAACGTAATGAAAATATATTTTAACAGAATCCAAAGGAGGAAAAGAGGCAGATCGTAGGGAGCCAGGTATCAATCAGTGCACCACAACTTTTTAAAGAATAACCAGTGTGTTACATAGCCATTCCCATGCTGAAGTCATCAAAACACGGCTCTGCCTTACAGTGGAAGCACATTTTAAAGGGTAGAGAAGACCCTGCCTCAGAAGTCTGTTCCCTATAATGCCTGGTGTCTTCAGGCAGGGGAGGGCTGGTAGGGATGGCAAGAAGTTGTGCACAACCGTGTCAACCCTCCCACTTCTTGCACAAGGGTAAGGTAACAGTAAAGACTGACTCTTCAGAGCCAGACTACGCTATTTACAGTCCAAACCCACACTTTTAATGGTCAGAGCCTTCATGCAGCACCCCTGCCATCCACTACAAGGTGTTTGATGCTCCCACCTGGCCATGGAGGCCTCTCCCCAAAGCCACGCTCCTGTGTCACTCGGCTCTCAGGGGGAGGCACGCTTCCTGCAGGTGTGAATCCTCGCACCCTACGCAGGGCTGCCTGCCACCTCAGGAGGCCAGGAACCCTTATGCTGGATACTTTCCAACCACACAGCAACCTACTCGGAAGCCTGCAGGCAGCCAACACCTTTCCTGAAGCAAGAAACACTGGTTATGCCGTATTTTCAATATCTCCAGGTCAACCTCCACTTTTAGCTGTCCTTTTATGCGTGGGAAACTCTGGAAGCTGGCGTTATCTCCTGGTACGGCATTTGCAATAAATAACTGGAGCAACTCAGATGGCAATTTTAGAGGCTTTCCCATTTCTGCTCCAAGTTTTAACACGAGACGCTAGACAGGCGAGTTGTAAGACTTACCTGAAGAAAAGCAGCAGCAGATGCGTCTGCGTGTCTGCATCCCCTGCGCATCTCAGGGGCTGGGCCCCGGGCTATTTCTCTGCAGCCTGTTCGCTACTTGCCCAACGATTTGCACCAGGTCTGGGAGCAGCCTTCAGTCCCCACTCAGGGAACGGATTCACTCAACTGCTGCCCTTGAGCAACAGTCCCCTCCTGGGAATTCCCCCACTGGAAATGACGTTATGAAATGTAGGAAGACACTGAATGCCCTGGAGGAAGGTAAGTCATACCAAAAGGTGTAGCAGGTAGATATGCCCTAAGCTGTTCATTCTCAAAAGCTGCCAAGTTCTGGGGGGCAGGGAGGAGAGGCTGTGTGCTTGTTCCGTTCTTAGCCATCTTCCTACCCATCTGCAGCTGGCCCCCTGCTAATGCTACTGGGCTAACGGAGCTTTGGTTTGACTCTATAGCCTTCCTGGTGTATTTAGTCTCTGAAAGATAGCCTAGCCCTGAAAACGCATCCATGAAGCCCTGTACTAGCACAACAGAAGATTGTCAGTGACTGGAGAAGATGTACCTTCTTACTGCATTGTCTTCTCAGGCTCCCTATTTGTCCTACCCTTGCTGGCATCGCTGGAGGCCACAGGTGGTTTGCAGCTGCAAAATGCAACCCACCCAGTTCGTCAGCCGGTTGCTTTCAGTTCCAAACACTTAAGAGTGTAAAGATTTCTCTAGAAATCTGGAAATAGAAGGTAGATGGTTTTCTGAAAGGGAGAG